CAAAACCACATTCACACCTTAGCTGGACCAACCTAGTACCAACAAAGCCACATTCACACCTTAGCTGGACCAACTTAGTACCAACAAAGCCACATTCACACCTTAGCTGGACCAACCTAGTACCAACAAAGCCACATTCACACCTTAGCTGGACCAACCTAGTACCAACAAAGCCACATTCACACCTTAATTGGAACATCCTAGTACCAACAAAGCCACATTCACACCTTAGCTGGACAAACCTAATATCAAGAAAGCCACATTCACACCTTAGCTGGACAAACCTAGTACCAACAAAGCCACATTCACACCTTAGCTGGACCAACCTAGTACCAACAAAGCCACATTCACACCTTAGCTGGACAAACCTAATATCAAGAAAGCCACATTCATACCTTAACTGGATCATCTTAATACTAACAAAGCCAAATTCACACCTTAGTTGGACAACCTAATATCAATAAAGCCCAATTCACACCTTAGTTGGATTATTCTAGTACCAACAAAGCCTAGTTCACACCTTAGTTGGACTATCATAATACCATCAAATCCTAGTTCACACCGTAGTTTGACTATCATAGTACCAACAAAACCCGGTTCACACCGTAGTTTGACTATCATAGTACCAACAAAACCCGGTTCACACCGTAGTTTGACTATCATAATACCAACAAAGCCCAGTTCCCACTTTATTTGGACCATCCTAGTACCATAAAAGCTAAGTTCACACCTTTGTAGACCATCTTGGTACCAACAAAGCCCAGTTCACACCTTAGCTGGACTATCCTTAGTCTAGAAACTCCTTCTTTCAGGTTTTGTTTAATTTAATCAGTATTACTAAAACCATAAGGTTAAATTTATAAAGAAAAAGATAACTGAGGTTATATATTGTTTGTTCGTAGAAAGATCTATGTAAACTTGTACATCTTGATTATCTCCGACAATAGTGACGTGTGAGGAAAAATATTATCACTGTTCTGTAACCATGCAGAAGTTTGGGATGGTGTTCTGTAACCAAGCAAAAATATGGTTTAGTGTTCAGTAACGAAGATAAGGATATTGTTCAGTAATCATGAAAAAATAAGATCTGTGTTCGGTAACCAAGCAAATGTAAGGTCACTGTTTGGTAACCAAGGAAAAATATCGCTTAGTGTTCAGTATCCAAGGGAAAACATGGCTTAATGGTCTTTAACTAATCAAAAAATAAGATCTGTGTTCGGTAACCAAGGAAATGCAAGGTCATTGTTTGGTAACCAAGGAAAAATATCGCTTAGTGTTCAGTATCCAAGGGAAAACATGGCTTAATGGTCTTTAACTAATCAAAAAATTAGTTCAGTGTTCGGTAACCAAGCAAAATTAAAGTTAATGCTTGGCTACTAAGTAAATATAACTTGAAAACGTAAAATTTTACTTTGCTCTGTAAGAACCTCAACAACAACCAGCTGGGCGTGTCCAAGTGGCTAGCATTTCCCGAACTGTGGATCCGAAGAATCCTGTTTCCTATATGAGTGACGATGAAAGTCGATTAGAGTAGGCGACAAGTGTGATTGACTAGCTGCCTTCCCCCTGGTTTATCAGTTCAAAATTAGGGACAGCTATGTGCAGACAGCACTTTGTGTAGTTTCAGAAATCAACCTCGACATCACTTAAATACAAACATAACAAAATTGGGGACAGCTATGTGCAGTCAGCCCTTTGTGTAGTTTCAGAAATCAACCTCGACATCACTTAAATACAAACATAACAAAATTAGGGACAGCTGTGTGCAGTCAGCCCTTTGTGTAGTTTCAGAAACCAACCTCGACATCACATAAATACAAACATAACAAAATTAGGGACAGCTATGTGCAGTCAGCCCTTTGTGTAGTTTCAGAAACCAACCTCGACATCACATAAATACAAACATATCAAAATTAGGGACAGCTATGTGCAGACAGCCCTTTGTGTAGTTTCAGAAACCAACCTCGACATCACATAAATACAAACATAATAAAATTAGGAACA